CCCTGTTGCCGCACTGACTCGCTGTTTGACACAGTCTTGATCCCTTCTGCTCTGTCAGATGGAAAAGTGGAGCAAGCCCTATCAGCCTTCCACCCCCCTCCTCCTCCTGGTGGCGACACTGTTAAGTGTGTTAGTGTGTGTGTGTTTCTGGTTTAAGTGTATGTCCGTGACGATGAGGAGAGATGGGGAAATATGCACAAGCGCAAATTTTGTAAAGTGGTAAATGAAAGCAAGACATTTCAATCTCAAAAGACAAACCGAAAAATAATCAACCAGCATAATTTTTTATTTTTATTTTTTATTTTTTTTTTACAATTGTACAACCATATCTGTTGGCCTACCTCATAATTCTTTAATAAACTTCCACTGAAGTTCAGAAGCTGCCTTGAAACAAGCTCACTTAGATCACTTGTATAATGTACCTGTGATAGGTATCTGCTGCAGGCTGTAATACTGGCTATTACCTTATATAGATGAACATATGGAGGGCTACTTTAAGACTGAACTTTATGTCTCCTCTGGGATAACATTGTCTGTATAGCATCAAATTCATTGTCCATCCATTTTCTGTACCCACTTTAGGTACTAAGTGAGCTGAAGTATATACCAAAATGCATTGAGCCTGCAAGAGGTGGGGTACACCATGGACAGGATCTATCACAGAGCTAATATATGTGCAGACAAAAATATTTAAAATGGGTAAATTAGAGCTTTCTTAGGGCTTTCTTTCACTTCTTTCTGAACATATGCAAATCTTACCCCCAACTGTTGGTAGTCAAGTTGCATTGTAGGTAATGTAGGTGCCAGGTTTTGGACAATGTAAAAGTGTGTGGAATAAAAAAAGATATTTCTTCTTTAGCGGCATCAACTTTGATCAGTTTTTAGAAAACTGTCCAACATGAGTCTAACAGTGTTATAGAAGTGTAATGCTATCCCAGAGGGATGTATTTTATTCTTTCCATTCATTTACTTGCTTGTTTGGTGCACAAGAGATTAATAGATGGTATATAAAGGACCATAAAACGATGAAAAGTGCCACACGCTTGGTTAAGATCAGAACTTGCTGCTATGCCTTTTTGTAAAATAAATGTGATTACACTTTGGCCAGATTTGTGTCCAGCTAGTTTTTGGCAGAGTGAAGAATATGCCTTTGACTTTTTACTTCATTTAAGGTTGAGACCTGCCAGTGCCAAAAGCTGATAGCGGTGCCAGATCAGTCCAAAGCAAGCCTCAATCTACCGTGTCAGATTGAGGATGTTAGAGCAACTTGTGCCGCACACCAGGAAATGATTACTCTATGGCGGTGGGGGTTGGAATGGGTGCCTAGGTCTTTAACCACTGATCCCTGATCAGGCAGAAGACCACTGGGGATTAGAAATGGGATTAAGTGACCCTCAACCATTCACAAGCTTAGTGCCATCCATCCATCTAAAGAGTCTATTACATTTATCTCTAATTTCTGGGTCATATTTAGTAAAGCATGCTTTAAAATGAGATTGCTCAGTTGCCTGCTCATAATGCATAACATTTGAGCTTTTTCAGTTATATAACAGTATGTTGCTTTTATGATTCCTGGAAATGAAATATGAAATGTATGAGTGATGCATAAATACATTTTTGAGTATGCAATGTACATTCTATAGATGTAAAAATGCAGTTTGTTCTGATTTAAGAATCAGTATAGTACATCTGGGAGTGGCACATTTACAATCTAAAAGGGCCACAGTAATCTATAATGCACCAGACATAAGATAAGTGCTCCTCTGTACGAGTCCGCTTATGTCGGTGTGGGTTCAGGCAGATATCCTATATTGAGGCAGAGTGAGGGTCAAAGCACGGAGAAGCCAGAGGCAAGGTCAGCAACCACATAGCAAAGAGAAGCTGAACACCATCATTCATCATCATTTCTCACAGAAAAGAGAGAGAGAGAGCACAGAAATTAAAGACTTAAAGAAATAACTCAGTGAAGATTCAAGGCAGACAGAAGTGACAACAAAAAAGACTTTCAGCTCCACAGCAAACATTTCAAGAAAATGTGAAAATGTTTACTCTTAATAGATTTGCTTCCGCTGACCTGAGGTCTCAGTTTTGAATCGTGTAAAACTTTTATGAGAGCTAAAGATAACAGTATCTCTTCGAGACGGCAAGGCAAATGAATGAGAGCAGGTTGAGGAGACAGGCACATGGGGGAAGACAGAGAGGGACGGCGAGTGCGGCGATTTGGGTGGGCAGATGGTGCCGACATATGGGCCTGTTAGGGGCAAAATAAATAAATAAACACTCACACATAAATACTGAGATGAACTGTGAGTGCCACAAACTGTTGGCCAACTTAGCCAGCTGAGAGACAACGCAAATGGCGGAGAGCTACCGCTGAAATTGCCTGCAGATTTCTAAGTAGACCACCACTGCTGAAAAACACGCGCAGACAGTTGTGATTGGGATGACAGCAGGCTTTAGAGACTTGAGCCTCGGTGTGATCTCTAATCTCCAAGTAAGTATGTGTACCCATGTGTGCATTGTAACAGTTAAGGGAGAAAGATACACATACAGCTCATCATTTGTTTTTTTAATGTGGTTGCATCTGTGTGCACTAAATTTAGTCTCCATATGTAGGTAATGGCAAAGTTATTTTCTGTCTCTGAGCTGCACTTCTTTCCTGCCGCTGTCTGGTTCAGCTGCTGCTGTGTTTGCTTTCCCTCCACATTGCTATCTATAAATCCTCCACCTCTTGTCTGCCTCCTGCTCAACCTCAAAGCCTGTGGCTCAGTTAGAGAGACAGCCAGGTTGAGAGAGGTGATATCCTCTAGCAAACAAACGGCTGCTTTGTACAGCATGTTCTCTGCCCATATCAACAGCACGCCGCCTGCCCAGCTCCAGTCAAGATTTGCTGCCCAGCACAGACAAGCAAATGGAGGAGGACTGAAAAACCAAAATTGTACAGTCAGTGTAAATATACAGTACATGCTACTTTGGTCCCTGTGCAGTCCCTTTCTGTCCTGCATACACTATACATAATGTATAGATGATAAATTCCATATGCCACCATCGGATTTTTGCAACTAATTCTTGGCTTTTTTAATTTAAGCGCACCAGTTGGCTGGGCTTCCCAGCCTCACACCGTCTCCTAACAGCATCTGTGCTTCCAAATAGCATGTTGTGATGACTCCAGGCTGTTTACACTGAGACGGTCAAGTCTGTGCATTAGCTCAAGATGTAAACAACCCATGGAGATCACGAATAACCAATTCTTGTAAATTTAAGAGAGCAGGAATAGCTGACACGAGCGTCAAAAATAGACTAAATCTTTCACTCATTGACGCTCCTGGCTGCTTATAACAGCCTCAGTAATTATGATGTTTTGTTGCTGGTGCTTGCTGCATGATATTAAAAGATGTATAATTTAACACGCAATCCTTGCATTTCAGTGTGTGTCACATTAACTTAAGTCCTGGTCAGCGAGCGTGCGTTTGTGTGTGAATGCTTCTAAGCGCCTGTGTCTGCTCCCTACTGTGTGTGTCGGCAAACATATTACCTAATCCCTGGTAAACACATTTGGATGATTTCCACATTCCTCCCAGTTTGAGTATGTTTGGTTGGTAGATATCATCGCCACCATGCCACTTTATATTCTGTTTGGCTCTCTGCCCTCGTAATGTCTGTGAATTTAATTTGATTGCAGCTGTAATCTGCCGGCTAGTTAATTGACTTTGCCGAGCTTTGTTCCTCTCCTCTACCTTGATGGAGAGGGGTAGTTTGATAAGTTACAATGTCTTATCCTCTTTGTGCGAACTCGCGGCCACATTGTGTGCTGTGGTCACTGGAGAGTACTCCTCTAGAACTGGATGAACTAATGTGATCTCAAGGGGTAAGATGAGCTGACCAGAACTTTTCTGTCATTCATCTTCTTGTCGCAGCAGACAGGGAGGTCCTACTGCGATGGTCCCAGGACAAATTAGATTCTTATGAAAGCCATTTGATCCGTCAAAGTCAACTCTGTCGCCTAAAAATGATGTTCATATACAACACATCTGTAGTAGCAGATATATTGTAGGAAAAGCAATGCCACCTGGACAGCATTTTTAATTAATTAAATGCTAAACAGATCAATTTCTGCAGTTTGCCTACCCTAGGCCCTAAACCTAACAACATATGCTGCGCTACCTTTAATGCCTACTTCACCTACCCAAGACTTCTTCAATAAAGAACTTGCCAATAAAAGGTAGACATTACATTCACTCTAAAATGAGTAGTGTATTACTGTATTTATTTGGAGAAAGGTTTGCATCTGTGTAGTTATACTGGCATGGGTAGCAGATATGGGCCATTTAAAGATAGTAGCTTGTGATAGTGAAAGTGCAATGAGACCATGGCCTGGAACCAAACCATGGTTTAATGGTTCTGGACACGTCTGACTTTGTTATTGACAAAAAGAGTAATCACTATGTGGGTTAATGGTTAAAAAAGCATGATCAATTGTGCTGGTTTACATTAGGTAGTTCAGTTATGTGGTTTATCTGGTCCACTATACACAGCCAACAAGAGTCAGTGGCCTATATAGAAAAAAAAAGAGAGAACCCATTAGGTAGAAACTAAGGCTTCAGGTCACTGATGGCATAAAGCTGGATCGTTCAAGCTGAACCAAATGTCCACAATGGGATTCTGAATTGCAAATGAAACCTTTAACATGGTGTGAGTGAAGGTAAACACTGAAAAATAGGACTGCAGGTAGAGAGAGAGGTAACCTTGCTCCACTGAGTGATTCTACTTTTGAATTGTCAGCAACACGCAGTGAATGGTGTTTGTTCTCATTGACTAATTTAATTAACAAGAACACAGAGAACTTCATTAGACTGTTTTCAGTTCATTAATAAAATTAATCTCACTGGGCACGACCACACGCAAGATAAACATCAACACACACACTGACAGACATGGGCATTACTGCACTGTACACTGACATGCACACATGAGTGTCAAAATCATTTAGAGTAACTTACGGGTTGCCATAGTCCCAGACAACGCACTGAGGATCCGATGTACCCTGCAAGATATAGGGAGGGGGAGAAAAGGGAGGGATGGGTGGGGGAGAGAAGATAAGCTGTTATTGCCAGTCGAGAGGATGAGTGAGAGAGGGAGGCAGGGAGAAGACAGAAGAGCTCGTTGCCAGAGGAGAAAGAGTGATGCTGCATGGGCGATTGAGAGAGGTAAACAGACAATGAAAGAGAAGGATTGAGACAAACGGCGGGAGGGAGGGATGGAGAAAGAGTCATTGTCAGAGGACAGAGCAGCAAATACCTGCTGCTGCTGCAAAAAGAGAGAGAGAGAGAGACAGAGAAAGAAAAGCCATTTCATGGACAATAATACACAGCAAGTTGGGCTCATAAACATCCAGTAGTGGAAAGGCATTCAAATTCTTTACTTAAGTACAACCACAGTGGGAAGTACTAAAGTAAAAGTAAATAACTATGCAGCAGTAAAATGTACTTAGGTATAACAAGTACTTATTGTGAAGGACTGGCCCTTTCAGAGTGGGTAAAAGCTCACCAAAGTCAAGTCAAGTACTTCATAAAGTCTGACCCTGACCTCTAAACATCCTCATGTGTATTCTAGGAATTTACTAAAAACATGTTAAAAACCTAAATTAGTCACACAGCCTCTCATGACAGTCTAAATGCTGCTGATTTACTTTCAGCTCACTCTTAATCCATCGACTCGCTGGAGCCAAAAGCCGATCACTGGGGTTCGAAAGGCAGGTGAATCATCTGGTAATCAAAGCTCAGTCACGCGTGGTGGCGAGGGAAGACTCGCTATGGCTCAATCAGTGAATCAATCACAGGATCAATAGCTTTAACTGACTCATCACAACTTGTTCCACCGGTGATCTTCAGCGATTTCTGCATTGATTGCTTTTAAAGAATTGTCTGTGCCCTTTCAACCTGCATGGCTCATTTGCTAAGGATTGGATTGAGATTGGTTTTAGGTGAACTTTGGGGCTGTCTGGTCTGGATCAAAGATTCTGTTTTCACATTCACTCCTAAATCATAAAGTGTTAAAGTCTCAAACTGGTGGAGCTTAAAGTACAACCCCAGCCTGAGAGAAACAACTGGCTGATACACTTTCTGGTTCCTTTTAGAATAAGACTGATCGGGCCTCTTGTGTAACTACATCGGGTACCCACAAAAGAGATGCCATTCTTCCACTGGGCGGATGCAGAGGAAAATGGATCCCTCTCTGTAACAGTCTGTTGGCCCTTCCTGAGTCCTGCATTAAGCACTTTGCCTTTGAGCTCCCCCTTATGGTTAAGGGGATTATAGCAGTAATACCACAGCCACACTGTTCTGGCCCCTAAAAAAGGGATGATGTCCACTAAGTAGAGGCACTACTGCCTGAGAAAAAATGAAGAAATTGCATCTTCTTGAGTGAAGAGCAAACTGACGGCCTTTTAAATATCAACACTTTTCACTGAGCAGAAAAGGGAGAGAAGGAGGTGATGCACATTCAAGCACTATGCACTCCGCACTATGAGGATTAGTTCCTCTAAAGGCAAGGTCACCCCTCCTTCTGTGAACTACTGATCTACAAAGAATCAGCGAATTAATCCGGGGGTCTCTGCATGGCTGGATTTGAGAGGACGGGATGATGCAACATTTTTAACCACGAGATCAGAGGCTAGGTGACACAGATTGATGGATGACAGCGCTTTGTTCTGCCTCACACGTGGGCCGCTGCCATCACCGACACTAGATGTCCCAGGGCGTGCATTAGCACAGCGGGCTCTCTTAGCATTCAACTATCAATCAGCGGGCATCGTGCCTGACTGTGCGCTACAGCGGGAGTGACATCCGTGTACTCCCACGATGTCTGCCTCCTCTTTAGTGCCGATACGTCGCATAATGACAACGTCTGCTCGACTGATGCCTCTCAAAGGGAGCACCGCGTGTCTGATTCTAACAGCCGCATTTATTGACGGTAATAATGGTGTCTACCTTAATAGCTCTGTGTTCATTTTTCTCTCAAAAAGAACAGCCATTAACTTGAAGGCATTCACAACCAGGTGGTAACCATTTGGTGGTAAAATGCTTAAGCTAATCAGATGAAATGAGCTACTGTAACAGAACAAGACCACCCAGGCTCAGGGAGTCTTAAAAGCCTTCCACATCATATCAAAGATTATAGATTCAGAAAATGAAATGGAGCAACCTGGATGTTGCTTTTTGACTGATGAAAGTAAACTAGATTACAGTGAAATTACCAGAAAGGCTCATGGCTGATTTTCGTAAAGCTAACCAGAGCTGCCTTTTATAATTGGAAAGGCTAGCTGAAGGATAGATGGAGGTGGGGGCGGGGGAGGTGCGGGGTAACTTGGCATCTGTTCTACTGTAAGGACACAGAGCTTTCTGGCCTTGTGCTTCTTACTCACCATTAAAGACATGCGCACACTTTGACACCGGGGACATATGTAGGGAGTCTGACTGGAGCAGATGTCTGCTCAGTGAAGACATGACCGTGCACAGACACCCCTATGCCCCCCCTTTGAGAGTGAAGCCTGAGGCAGCTGTTGGCACGGCACTGCTTCAGCAGGCCAAGGTCGACACCTACTGCAGTTGAAGACCATGACAAGAGACCTTGCTCTCCCTTGCACTTCCTTGTCTTCTCTGGTTCCCATACTGTAGCTCAGCATATGCTGCCCAATGTAGTTCATGGCAAGCGTAGGAATGATGAACAAAGGTTAACACCGCCTTCGAAGTAAAAATAATTCTGTGTGCATCTAGATAGTTGTAGGGCATTATTGGGAAGTAGTTCCACCTAATCTGATCAAACTTGTTTAGCTTTCTTTTTGCAGTGCAGTTTGGTTGTATTCTACACCTCAATAGTGTAGAAAAAAGCTCCACCTTCTTGGGTAATAAGCTTATTTGCTTTTTTGCCTAGAGTAAGAAGAAAAGATTGATATCACTCATATCTGTACATTAAATAAGAAAGTACAGCCAGCAGCAGGTAAGTGTATTTCTAAAAATGTTGAAAAACAGCTTTAATCTTACTGGTATTTCACAGCAATTATTTTCATGATAAAAAATACATTATTCTTTTGTCTTTTATTTTGCTTTTAGCATTTGCTAAAAACCTAAATTAATTTCAAGTAGCAATTATAAATATGTGTGGCCATGATTAAGACCATGAACACTGGTTGCATTTCAAATGAAACCAAATTAATATTATGCTAATCACTCATTCTGTATCTTCTGTAATATCATGTATTATTTTTTATATGGCAAAGATATATTAATTAATGTAGTTTTAATTAATTGTATTCATCACTTTATTAAATCAAATATTTTTCTTCTTTAGCTGTGGGTGAACTTCTTCCCTGCACTTAAGACCTGGACTGGGGGCATGGAGTTTCAAAGATGTTGGCATTTAACAGGCAGGAAAGGTCTAATGAAAGACACGATTCAGTTGCTTTTTGGGAAATGTAGGATTATGTGCTTTTCTGCTGCTTGGCCCATACAAAGGAACAGAAAGTCAGGATCTCTCAGTATGTGCTGCACTGATTTTCACCATGCATTTTTAAATCCAACTCTTGTGAAGCGTAATCGTAAATAGCAGGAGTACCCCTCTAAGCAGGATGATAATGGCTCACAAACACTAGTCGAAAGGTATGCATATATGCATGCGCCCTTCACATTGCTGTTCGAGCCCAGTACTGTACTCGGCGCTGGAGAAATTTCTGTCCTCAGCAGGAGCCTCCGGTTAGTCCAGAGCAGCATGCTAGGATCAGCATTAAGACATTATCCTTGAGACAGTGTGTGCAACCTGCAGTACCTCTGCTGTGCCAAAAGTGTTAAAAAGCAGAATAATAGGTAGATAAAAGATAGAGGCATATAAAGGAAATGCTATAATTAAGTAATGAATCAGTGGTTTAAAGCAGGGAGATGGAGTGGTGGTGGATGAAGAATGAATACAAAGTCTTTATAATGAAACACTGTGCAATAATTTAGACCCTCAGGTCCTGGTTGAGACAGCAAGGGACTGATTTCATTGGAAGATTTTAATATGTGTATATTTATGTGTGTGTGTGTGTGTGTGTGTGTGTTTGTGTTGTCTGGAGAGAACCATTAAATATTCAACATTATTTTCAAAACTGTGCCCACCTTTATACAGAAGAATGGCTAATGAAACCCACATCTTATTGAGGTCGTGAAGAGTGCCTCTCATTAAACTTGCACTTAGTCCTTTCCACTGAAGACACCCCACCAGTCGTTTATAATAACACACTCCACTGTAATATAAACTGAATAGGTACCAAGAGACGCTGCGTTATAAGGAAGTCAAAAAGGTCTGCATTTATTCAGGCAATTCACAGAGCACTATGGCGCTTTATAGCATGCAGCACTTTCTCTTTCATCTGAACTCAGGAAACATGGGTCAGCTGGGAGAAAAGAAATCCTTTAAAGCAAAAAAAAAATTTATTTTCTTGGCCAAAGCTTGCTCAATATACAAGTAGGCTACATAATGAAAAATGCATACCCTTGCATTGGAAAATGCCTCATATGGAATAATTTACATTTTTGTTGCATGTAACACACTTTGATATACTCTAAAAATAAGTGGTTTTCTGGTGGTTGGAGGTTACACACGTACAAAACCATAGAGCGGTTGGGAAACTTTAGATGATGAAAATAAAAGAGTAATGTTCTCCAGTGTGAAGAAAATTTCAGATTAAAAAAATAATAAAATCTTACATTAATAAGCGGTGACAGCTCCACCACCACCATGGGCTCACTGGGTTGCGGTTCAGGCCGTACCGTCACTGTCAGGATCTTGGAGTTGATTACCGCAGGGGGCCTGCAGAGAAACAAGCAATCAAACATAAAAGAGTGTTATTGTGTATGAACAGCACTGCACATTCAAGTTCAAATTGTCTTTCTGAGTTTGAAAAAAGTGGAATATGATGGTGAGTCGCTTTCTTTTGCTGTTTGTCAAACACACAGACACATACATCCAAAAACACTCAGAAACAGACACACACAGCCAATGCCCTGCCATGCTTTTGATGGTTTTTGAATGTGTTTGCAAAAAATAAATACACACATAAATAAATAAACATATAAATAAAAATCCTAATGAGAAAGGGAGAAATCCAGAGCCAGCGCATAAGTTAGAAGAGCACACAGCACCTATTAGCATTCAGCAGAGCTACAGGGAGAAAAGGGTTTCAACAGATCCAGCTCATCCACAACCAAGAGCACTGACCTGAATAAATGGGCCCAGGGCCAGCACAAACACCACATCATAGTGGCCTTTTGACAAACTCCTGATTTCTCCTAACTTCCACTTTTGCAAGTTCTATGCAAGTTTCAAGACCCATTAGGCCCGCACCCATTCCAAGCCCACTGTACAATTCCAAAAATACATCGACAATGAAATAGAAAGGAAAAAACATCTAGGGAAATGTACTTTTTTGGAGATCCAAGACATTTGTCTGATAACTAGGCAGACACAGGGAGAGGAGGGAAGTAATAAGAGACACTATAAGAGAGAAGACAGATGGAGAATTGGAGGTTGGAATTAGATGGAGAGAAGAAGCCAAAGAATAAAGGGCACAGAAATAGGGAGGTAGTGAGACTGGAATAAAAAAAACAAAAAAACAAAACAAAAGTGAATACAAGGGAGATGAAAAGTCGTATGAGAAAGAAAGTGCTGGGCAAAAAAAAAAAGGAAAGCAGAAAGGTCAAGGAAAGGACGGGGAAAGGAGGGGAAGGTGAGATATAGTTTGAAATGCTTGAAAAAATAAGAATACTTAGACAGTGGGTCACATGAGAAGTACTCACTTTGGTGCAGGTAAGATGATGCCCAATGTCCTGTACAAGATGGCTCCGATGACATAGTACAATGTAGACTCGGAGTCCGCCTCCATCTCTGAAACACACAATTATGCAACTGATCAGCCTAAACAGATGCCATGGTTTGCCTAAAACACCTTCAAAATCAAATATCATATCTGTTCATTAATTAATCTATTTCTATTAAAAGAAATAAAATGTGACACTTGCAGAAGAATTTGTATTTAAAACATCAACAAGAATGCTGCAAATCCGGTTGTATGTTGATTGGGAAGATAAAGGAAATTTAAATTTAACAATATTGATAATACTATGCTATTTGTGTTAGTTTGTTTGACCTTTAGCAGATAGTAGCACAGCTATTGCTCAGCTACACCTAATACAGAAACCTAAATTCTAAAACCTGAGCCAACCAACATGCAATTCGTTTTTTATTAAAATGATTTTAATAAAGTCAAAGCGTCTACATCCTCTTTAGACAATGTCCTTCTCTTCAATGTTCTCTCCTTCTCCCTTGTTTTTAACTTCTCAGCTTGCCCCTCTCGTCCTCCTTTGTTGTTCTTGCCATTCTCTAAACCACTTTTCAACTTTTCCTCCCTTTTCAACAGTCCTTTTTTACAACCCCTTGCCTTTCCACCACTCCCTCCAGTGTTCTTTCACCAAAAAGAGCAGGGACTCCCGAGGAGACATAGTGTCCCTCTGTAAATGTCACTTTGTCTCAAGTGAGGGAGGCGGAAGGACGCAGAGAGGAAAAGTAAGAGGGGAAGAGTTCATGTTAAGAGATGCCACTCCCTCCTTTGCCCTTTTAGGCTGAGAGAAACAATGGAGGAGCAACGGCACAGTGAGGGGAAGAGGAAGAGGCAGAGGGGCCTGATGGTATCAGACGTACTGGGTGACTCATCTAAAATCTGTCTGCCTGCTGCCTTAGAGGTAATACTCAGGAAGAGAGATAGCTATGCAAGACAGACCAGGAGAGAGAAAGAGGAAGAGACAAAAAGATCTCAACAGTGGGGGGAGAAAAAAGCAATTGTGAGACTGTGAGGAGGCAAAAAACAGATCAAAGTCGGCATGAGGAAGCCTGTGAGTGTGATGGATCCTAATTGGACAGTGTCTGCAAAGGCATGCAAATGCGAAAGTCAGTGTATTGTGGGTAAATGGTAAATCAGTGTGTGAGGCGGTAGCACTCCTACGCTCAAGGATGATTAATACCACAAAAGCACTCAATCACAAAACTCTAATTTCCCACGAACAGACTTTTCGTCACTCTTCGCTTGCTGAACATCTAAGTGATTGGTGGTCAGCTGCAATCCAGCAAAATGGGAAACCACCAGTCACCAGCTGTGAACTTTAATATGCCATTTGTCAGGATAAGATATGCTTGGAGTTGATGCTAAGCCATAATTTATGGTTTTAATCAAAGATTGAAAGCTCCAGTTCCATGTGAGTTACTCTTTTCTTTCCTTCCTGGTTTCTTTCTTCTGCACATTTGCTTTTCCCACAACTTTTGTACACAGCACAGAAATATTTAACAAATGAAGGTACTTTAGAATAGCATTACTTTCGCCCAGTTGAAAAGACTGCTCAAGCTAAGAAAAACTGACTGTAGTGCTTCCTTTTTAGAGTCAGTGGTTTTATTATTTGCACAAAAATGTCCTATATAACATATGACTCCATACTAAATGTCTTTTCATTCAATTTTAACAATTTTTTTGTTAAGAGGTAAATTAGAAAAGCAATAGCTCTCACATGTCTATGGTTTATGTGTGGAGCTGGAGCCAGGAGGTTATAAGCTTAGCTTAGCTTGATGGGAAGCAGGACCAAATGGCTCACCTGACTCTGTCCTAAGTTCAAAAACATCCTACCAACAGCCTCCAAAGCTAACCAATTAACACACTGTATCTACTGTAGAAAGAGAAATGTAAAAATTCCAAGTTGTGGTTGTTTTATTATAACTATTTATTTGTAAACAAAAACAGTGACTATTCATTGTCAGGTCAGACCATTCCTAGTTACATAAAATATACACTTTTATTTGAGCACCAATTTTCAATCCCAAATCAAACTGGTGACATTTTGAACCTCAACATAACTACAGTTAAAATTGCACATAAGGAAGTTGCTTTAACACATTATTAGAGAGCAGAGCTTATTTGATTTGTGTTCTTGCTTGAGTAATACCTCAAAGCTAATGGTGCATAACCATATGCATGTACCAGCAATGGTGTATTTGAAATATGAAGTCATTTCTGGCTTGTATGTCTGGATGTATGTGTGTGCATGGTTGCATGACAAAGCGGGGGCCTCCATTGGTGTTTGTGAGAGAAAAGAGAGAGACAGTGTAGGGAGAGAGGGAGTTTGTCACCTCGAAAATCAGTGAAGAACAGTCCCAGCCTCTGCCCAGTGAAGCGATTCATGAACCTATCAATTGGCAGCGTCTATGTGCAACTGTGTGCGCACGTGCACACACAAAGGTGCCAATGGGCCTTTATGAGCATGTTTAAGCTGTCCACTAGAGATAGGCTTTTATTATGGGGTAAATGAACCAATCAAACTGATAGCAATCAACTGAAGAACTCAACTCATGGACTGCCAATGGGAAGAGGCAGAGCTCCCACAGGGGCAAAGAGTACTAACAATGTCCTAACTCATAAGGCTATATGCCATTTGGGTGGAACAATTTACCAAATAGCATATGCTAAAATGGCAATGGCATGTGAGTATCATATGAGAAAATGGCAGAGTAAATGTGAGGCTGCCGGTCACTTTTATTGCACCACAAGGGACAAAACATTCACCATCATAAGCTATGAAGATAATAGAGAAATAAATCATGAATGTAGAAAAGTAAAACAGAAAGGCAGGATGAATGAAGAATAAGAAGGAAGAAAACATCACAATGCAGAGGCATTGTGCTAACACCCTTCTGTCTCAAGCTACAGCGTAACACTCATCCTTTGAGATATCAGAATTTTCTGTTCCATAAAATGTGGAAAAACAACTTGAACAAAACAACTTACAGGCAACTCATAAAGGGGTTCTGTTACATAAAAACAAGGTGGGTAGTTTAGAATAAGCACATTACATTGTGCTTGGTAAAGGGGTGAGTTGAGGTGAGGTGCCCTGAGGTTAGCATACAGGATGTCTTGAACGCCAATCAAAGAGAGTTTGTGTCATCAGCGTGAATCAGAGGTCAGAGACGGCTCTGCTCTCGGCCTGCAGCCTCTCTGAACTTTAATTTGGGCAGGAGGACGGAGTGCCAGACAGGAAGTCTGCCAGTGTAATTTCCTGTGGGATGTGACCTTTGTCTTTGTTGGTAGTGAATCGCATCTGCCACAGTAATTCTCTTATCTGATATGAACCACTTTCTTCCCACTCTTCCCCTTCACAACTTTAGATCCCACACTTCCTGGTGTCTTCTTTCTCTTTATCTTCCACGTTTATTTCTTAGTGCGTGTTTGGACAATCACTTTGCTTGTTTCTTGACTTTACTTTAAAAATTACAGCCGTTAAGACAAACAGCAGTTAAAACTTCTTGTGTTGTGAGGAACTGATGCTCTCAAGGGGATGGAGTACACCTCTTTACAGATGAAAGACCTGCATCTTCTATAGAAGCCCTCCAGGGTCTCCTTATATTCCAAATCCTTCTCAGCATTACCCTCCGACGTCCTTGAAAAGTCTTCTGTCTGCCTTCCATGAGACACATTTCTGAGTGTGTGAATTCACACTGGGATAACTTCTTAAACTGACCTTGGCTGAAGAGAGGGTTGAGAGGGGGAGGGGGGGTGATAAAGGGTCCTCCTATGTCTAAGAGTCAAGACTGAGAGTGAGGATGACAACTAAAAGAGATCCACATCATGGTTGTGAAAACTAGAGCTCAAACCTGACTTAAGACAGACGTCTGGAACTGCTGTTTGCTTTAAAAATAACATCATCAGCCTAATTTTGATACTAATGGTGAGATCTGAATGGTGAGTTTGTTGTGCCCTGATTCTTCTATCCAAATGATTGTTTCTATAAAAGAAACTCCAGATCTCGTCACCCGGTCAGATCTTTATCCTTATCTGTCTTAGTTCTCCTACCTTCGGTCGGGTTGGTGAAGACCTCTTTCGGGATGTAGAGCTTGTCCTCCGCTGTTCTGGCCCAGTCCTTCATCCCTCTCCGGCCCTTCATGGGGAAGTTGATATCGCTAGAAACTGCTGACACCGGCTCTCGCTGGATGGTTATCACTGGACAAACAAGAGATACCAAAAACACTTAAAACTCACTGCAGTGCAAAATTGAGGTTGGGGGTAAAGATAAGGTAAGCAGAAAACGATGAAAGCAACAGTGCAAAAAATGCCCACATTCAAAAGCCACTGAGTCATGTTTACCGTTAAAATTCATAGATCAGGCAAGGCAACAAGGGTTTTTTGAAAGTGGAAATTGAAAGACATAATTCAGATAAAAATTCAAGACCTTGGCTGAGCTTACCATCTATAAAATATCATATAATAAATGAGTTTATTTAAATATTATAAATTTGTGTGAAATAGCATTTTATAAAAAATAAATAAAATAAATCTGCATTTGTCACGTAGCAGCATTGTGTGACACCTACTGAGGTTGTTGGTAACCACTAAGAAACTCTGGAAAGGCTTCTGGGCTTCTCCGATGAGGTGAATGAAGTCTTCTAATATCCTCATCAGCAAAGCAGCACCGGGAGCGACCTGTGGACGGAGGGATGAAAAGGAGAGGCGAGCTTCAATCACGATGTCATCATAATTATAATCCGTGGCCGACGCTCAATGAGACGTGAAAGCCATTGACACATTTTTATTCCCTGCATTATCTAGACCACTGAATGCAACCACGTGGGTTTTGATATCATATTCGGCGGCTTGTTTATTGGGGTCCAGATGGGAAAGTAAACACACCTCAGCTCAAGGGCATCAAGCTGGGTCACACGCAAGAAGTGCACAAATACACACACACACACACACACACAGAGTATAATTAATAGGTAGCCAGTGTGTTTAGTAAACAGGTGTGTTTTTATGGCTGTAATGAATAGTTAATGTGGGATGTGGTCACACCCACCTTTCCACCCAAATTCACCTATGCACACGCAATTAAGTTAAGAAACTTGTTATGAAGAAGAGATGTGTAGACGCACAGTAACACACGTACACACACATATATAAAAAGGCTTTACCTGGTGTGCGTCCTCCCATTTTTCTACATTTTCCATGTCCAACATGTGGCTGACTATCTGGAAGAATTTCTAGACACAAGATGAAGACATACTCAGTTGTTAATGCAGCAGGACCTTTAAAGTCTGGTATCTTGTGTGTTTGCCATTGTCCCTTATTATGTTGCTAACATTTAAATCTAGAACAGTAGTCATCTGTACATAGGCATAATGTAAAACATAAAATCTGTCAAATGACTGACAGAAATGGGAGCATTTAGCTCTTTTACCGGCGGTGAAAAGAGAAAAACTCTGCTAAAAAAATCCCCTTTGAGGCCGCAGCAACTGTGTCGCTGTAGTTCATTGTTATGCACACCCCGTGTAGTATAAATTGGAGCTTCTACGTTGAACACATTTGCAGGCAACGCAAGTGTGTCTGCAACTGCTCGTCTTGTATGGTTTGTGACTTGAGGGGGCTTCGAGAGAAGGCTCTGCTTACCTGCACGTCGTCGGGAGCTGGGATGTAGGTTGCTCTTTTGAAGGTGTCCGTCACATTTCGCAGAATCTCCGTGGAAAAGAGAAGGTCGCCACTGTAGTAGCTCCTCCTCTGCAAGAGCTCCAGGAGACTCCTTACGATCTGAGACATGCCCTCCCCAGCCAGGGTCCTCTGACCCTTCGCGAGATGCTCTCGTAACTACAATGTGCAGAAAGTGGCAGAAATTTAGAAAAGTTCACGATTTAATGCATGCCCATTGGTGCTTACTGTAATACATTATTCAGAATGTGAAGCTGGTAAAAATGTCAGAAACAGCGAGACCAAACAAACCAAAGATCGTGTTTTTTTCCCAAAGAAATCACAGAAATGTTTTGGATGTGAGCCGAGGGGGATGTTTCAAGACAGGAGTATATATGTACATGGTTGGATCTCAGTGCTTGTGCTTAAAATAGGAAAGCAAAAAGAGGCCTAGCAGCACTCTCAGGCAGGAATTGGATCTCATCACTTCAGAGACAGAGATACACAAAGCAAAACTGTGTGTGTGTGTGTGTGTATGTGTGTGTGTGTGAAATGCAAAAAAAGACAGACAGAGAGGGAGAAAGAGCCTGGAAGAACAGAAGATAACAGCAATCACAGAAAATTAATTATTGACTCCTGGTGTTAATGAAAGGTTGGAACAGAAGCTAAGAGTGCAATCAGCTCTTTCACGCACAATCCCTGACCCCCATCTCCTTCCACCATCATCGAGGAGATGGAAAAGGTTGAAGTTCACAGAGTAGGAAAACAGTCTGGCTGATGAACACATTCATTAGCTATGTTCATTAATTGATAAGTGTGAGCGCAAAGCTCTGGAAAAGCTAATTAGAGATACCGACAAGGCTAGAGCAAAGACACTCCTGTATTTTGAGTAAACTTTTATAAAAAAAACAAAAAAGTTGAACAGAGGCACATGCTAGGTGAGAAAGGGGACAGCGAGGCAGAGACTAACTTTTAAAAACAGATGGAGCCTCCACTTCCTCATAAACTCACTAATGAGACAGAAGAAGTTTGATGAAGGTGAGTTATGATAGAGAGCGATACTGCAACTAACTAGCTCAAATGATGAAATCTGGAAGAATACAACAATATTTTTTCATTCTTGCTGAAGATGATGGAAAAAAAATGCAGAAAGAGTTTCTGAGTGTGGGAGTAGTTCTTTAAAAGGAGACTTACAGATAAATGTAAATATCTATATTCAAGTGAGACGCATCTGGCGAAGCTCGGAGGACCCCAGAAAGCAACTCCATTATTGTCCAGCATGCAACGACGACTAGCAGATCCTAAAGAAACAGAAAGAGAGACAAATACTTTACCTGCACAAGAACACATAAGAATTACTGTCGTGTTAATACAGGGTCAATTAACGGTCATAGAACCTGCTGCTGGAGAGATTTCATATTTCATTAAACATATTACTGCCAGAAGTACATAAATAACTTGCTTCTATTGTAAAACATCTACCATTTATCACATTAAGGTAATACACAGGGTGTCTGAATTTTAATACATAGGGGAAAATCACAGCACATTTACAATATTTGCACTTATGAAAAAATGAATTTATCGGCCTTTTCTTGGAGTAAAATATAATTTAAGATGAATTGTTACAACTACCAAATATTTCATGTGAGGCAGTTCTACATTGTTTGGCAGCTCATACCTGTTGGCTGGTCTAACCTGGCAGCCAGCACATAAACTGGTGGAGGCTGCCAAAATACTTTATTAAGACAAAACATTGTTCCTAGCCAAATAAATATACGCTTTCTGAACTCTCGCTCTGCCTTTTTATGAGTAATAGATCAACATCAATGAAGTGTAAAGCTTTTTTAATTTTTAATAATAATTAATTTTTTAATTAATTTAATACATTCAGTGTAATGTTCTTTAAGCTATAACATTTTACTGGCAGGCAATCTGATTCATGCAGGCATGTTTTGATGTTGGAGCCAGTGCCATAGTTTGAAAGATGTAGAAACAAGTTTGTATTACAGTCATCCTGAACCACATCTGCTCTTGGCTTAAATTCTTTCTGTCTGAGAAATAAAAATCCAATTCTGTTCTTGTTTCTGCTTTTGGAAGTAAAAAGAAAAAGCTCTGACAGCCAGCTATTTGAGAAACTCTGCAGTTTAGATTAACATCAGAACGATAAGTAAAAAACAAATAAGGTTTGAATGCATTCAAGCAGGGCAAGTCTGCTGTACTAATTAAAGGTATATGTTGGATAATGCACAAGTTGGAAATGCAATAATGATTGCTTCTGCATACCGAGGCTCCAAATAGTAATACAATTTAGGGACAGCATGATGAGCCGTAGACATGAATTTAAGCATTTAAATCAACCTGAGCACCTATTTGTTCCAGACATAGGAGCACATCAGAATTTAAAACAGTACAGTAATTACTGACATTATCATTATAATTTAATCTATTATACAATGTTTTCTTTAGCACTAATTAGACCATTGCTGTTTTTCTACTGTATTTCTCAGAAGTCACTTGACTGTCAAACATTAGAAGTGGTACATTATTTGGTAAGTATTTTTCTATAGGTTCCTTTTTCTATAGGTTTCCTATGCTATGCTAAGCATGCTAACTATTGGGTGCTTATGTTACGTATGTTCATGGGACTGATAAACTCGGGTTGCTCCTGCTGGACATTTTCTATTGTTTTCTTCCCCTGGATTTTTTGTTGACTACAGCTTTATTTGCATGGGACTAGTATTACCTGGGCAGTGGGGGCCTCTAGTAATTTATAATATTTGTGGAAGTTGTTGTTTGGTCCCTTGTAATACTAGTCCTTTGCGGCTAGGGCTTCAGTAGGGGTTCTCGCTGCTTATGCTAACTACCGGGTTCATGGAGCTAACAAACTTGTTGTTAGCTTGTTGGTCTCGTTAGCCCTTTTATAATTTCTCATTTTTTTCCTGTAAAAACTGCAGTAAGCTCTACTCATGCTAACTACTTGATGATAATTCATGGGTTTAACTAACTAAACAAACTGTTGGTTCTGCTAGACCTTTTTTGCGTATAGGATATTTTTAAGTTTAAGTTTGTCCTCCCCTCAAATGTCAGTTTCTGTAGATTCTTTCTTTTCTCACTTTAGCCTGCACTGCTAATGCTAACCACTGGCCACTAATGTACATTCGTAACAGACTTATGTTGCTCTGTTGGACATATTTCAGTCCTGTTGGACATATTTCAGTCCTGTTGGATATTTTCTAAGTTTTCGTAACTTGTATTTTCTTAATTAAGTTAATTAACGCCAAGTATGAGTTTTATTTTTTCCTTGTCTCACTTAGCTAGCACTGGTTATGCTACAGGGTGCTAATGTACTTCTGAGCCTAAAAGACTTACCATAAGTCTCTTATGTTGGACATTTAGGTTGATGGTTTTTTAGTCCTGTTGGACATTTTCTGATATTTCTTCTTTCTTGGATTTTCTGTTGATTAAGTTTAAGTTTCTGTGGCTTCTTATTTCTGACTTTAGTTAACATTTTCTGACGCCAGTTTACGACTGCTTGATATCCAATCCAAGTTTCTTTTATGAACTGGCTACAGTTTGAGCCACTGTAGTATTGTGTAACGATGAAAAGTCCAGGCCAAACAGAATCACAAATTCACTCACGCAAGCTGTGTCGGAAATATCACGACAGCTAACAGATACTGGCCAAAGCAAAGTATGCGACTGACCAGTGGCGTTAGTTGGACACTTGTTGTAGACCGTTTCCCCGGCTGAGGCTCTCTTCCATGACATAGAGAGAAGGTGCTCGTCTTTACATATCTCATGAGGAGCTGCAGAAGTAGATGAGAAATAGACAGAAAGAGTGAAACGAAGCACAGTCTTGTAGGCACACAGAAAAGGAAAAATCACCACGCACACACTCCCACAGACACATAGCCAGCGAAAAAAGAAAAAAAAGGAGCAGAAAAGCACAAAAAACAAGATACAAATCAATGTTCTCCTGCAGCAGCTCCCAATCTTATTCCCTTGTACATTGCTCAGTGCTCTCTGTCAGTGTCACTGCCTCAGTACAGTATCTCATTCGCTCTTCATCTTACTCCCTCTCTTTATTCATCTGTTTTCCCCCCTCCTCCTCTTTCATAACCCTGATGAAAAAATGGGGGAGAGTGCTCTGAAGATATTCCGAGGGGGCAGACGAGTGTTGGCAGAGGCGATGCAGAGAGATGAAGAGGGATGGAGAGCGAGGAGAGAGAAAGAGAGACGCAGAAAGAGAGAGAATATGATATGATGTTCCCCTGCAATGCCAACAGACAAGACCCTCGCCTTGTGTAAAAGAGGCCTGAGAGCTCTTCAAAACAAAGGGGTACTGGTGAAGGCTGCACTCTAAAGTTTATCATTTGTAGCCTGTCAGAGCTCAGCGCGAGCACAAACACGTGGCATTCAGGCTCGTACGGAAAATTCGCCTGGATATTCACACGCACACACAGCTTCAGTCAAGGGGCTTTCTTATTAAACAACACTGTTCCCATCGGTGGCTGACACTCTGACATTGAACATCTCGCCCTCTGTCAGGCAGGGAAACACAGAAAGCAGGCAAGAGAAAGCGAGCGAGATTAGCGCGATAAAAACAATGTTAAAGGGGAGAGATGTGAGAAGAAATTGAGTATCTCTCAGGTAAACAGAGGATAAAAGAAAAGCACCACAAGGCAAGGACATGCGAAATCAATGAAGAGGTAAAGATGGATGGGTATTCGAATTGACAGGAAGACAGACGAGACAGATAAAGATGAGAAGAGTGCGGTTCTGAAATTGCGATAGAAGCCTTCGGCTGTGGTGCGAACCACCGGGAATCACTTCCAATCTGCCTGACAAATACTGTGCATATGCAGATTGGACACACACACACACACACACACACACAGATACACACAAACACACAGATACACACACTCTTTTGTCTGTGACAGGAATGCACTAAGAGAGGGATGGAGAGAAATGCAGCCACACAAAAAAATAAAATGTCTAAGGCAAAAAAGTGTTTATACAGGCTTTTCAAGCATGAATAATATATACATACATACTGTACTTCTCCCTCATTTTCTAAGCTCACACACACACACACACACACACACACACACACACATACATTCACAAAGTCACTGACCAGGGCATTTTTTCTCGTTACAGGACCGGACCTCCTCCCCTGAGCCATCGCAGGGGTAGCCCTGTATTCCAGTGCCCTCACACATCCTGAAGCGGCGCTGCCAACCGGAGTCACACGTCTTGCTGCAGAGACTCCAGTGGTTCCAGCTGCCCCAGTTACCTCCACCTACAACGGGAACAAAGCGCCGGCGGTGAAGATTAGGGAGTGGGGAGGTGAGTGTGGGAGGGAACAAGAGCGGCATGTAAGGTGAAAAAAGGAACGGCAGTTGTTGATGAGTATTACATTTAGGTTACAACTTCCAGGCAGCAGTTTCTAAACTTTTCCCCTTCTTATAAGCGTGGTACAGTAATTAAGTCAATACGGGCCAATTCTGAGGCGCGAGTTCATTAAAACACTAGTATTTTTGTCCTCTGGGGCGCCAGTCTGAACAGCCTTGTAAGCCAAACTGGGTCCCAGCGAGAGAAGAATGAGAGAAGACCCATACAGATGCGTTCGGATATTGCCTGCTCCATGTTTGCATAATGGCGTTTGAGAGCAAGTGAGCGTGCATACTAAGCGTTCATTTGTACGCCTTACCACTGCAGGAAGGGTTGGTGCATTCTCTGCTCTCCTGATGGAGGCCCTTACATTCGGCCCAGCCGTGCACCGACGCACTGCAGCGCCTCTGCCTCTCCTCGGTCCCCGTGTTACAAGTCACACTGCATCCCGACCACGGCCCCCACTCCAACCACTGGCCCTCCACTGGAGTGATGGAAGTTAGATATGGGGAGACAGGGACATGGATGAAGGCGGATGGGAAGAAGAGTTTGAGAGACAGGAAAATCAGGATAAATTGATCCAGATTTTTGAAGCATAGGAAAGGGGATGTAAGAGGAAAAGGGGGAGAAAAAGAAGACACCGAGCAGAGAAAGTGAGTAGGCTACAAGTAAACAGAACATAGAATGAGTTTGGACGGAGGACAAATAAATTACAGACGGCTATTTGGTTTTCCATAAATAGCAACAAACAAAATAACACACTTCATGGTTTCTATGGACATTTTAAATATTTCAATCTGTTATGAAATAGCTGATTACAATTCTTTTCATGCTTTGTTTTTAAGAGTTCATGCAGAGTACATACAGTCAGTTGAATTTTCATTCAAAGTGTTATTAGAAAGGCACCACATTTCAACTCTTGACTGGTATTTGTGCAGAAACAGATCAATAAAAAATAAACATTTCAGTGCAATCTGGTATTACCTGTCAGATGACGCATGAATACCAAATAGCTTAACAAAGCCTGATGATATGCACAGGTCTAATCAAAGCCCCCACTGTCCCCTTTAATAAGGGAGTGTTGCTGGGGTAATTGAATTGTTAAATAAAATATCCAAAATTCAAAAAATTATGATAATCCAAAACAGGCAGATTAATCATTTATAGTGTGTGTAGTCAAAGATTTTTGTTATGTCATCAACTTCAAAGCTAGTAATAATTTTGAGGATCCGTGTCGCAGAAAAGAACACAATGTTCAACTGTGGAATAAGCAGATGTGTGTCAGTGAATACTTCTGGATACATGCTTTTACTTAAAGACACAAATGTGTGTGCGGGGTCAACTTGGTTACTCGGTTAACTTGACCCAGTACCAATAGGGTGTTTTGACCCAGGATCAAAACAACCCTTCTGTTGAGTGGTTTTCTACCTTTTTGCACTGGGTGAAATAAACCCAGTATTTCATCAGTGAATACTGACCCCGCACTGGGTATATTTTTACTTTTAACCCACTGTTTTTTAGCATGGAATGAAAGCACACTTTGACCCCGAATGGTAAACAAAAGCTTAATAATGCATCTGTATATGGTTTGACTGTATTATTGCTCCTGTTGTCTTGAGGGGATAATATTAAACATTTTACTTGTAGCAGTAGTTGAAGAGCCTTTTGTATTATTGTAATAACTGAAATGTAAACTGTTATTCTCAAATAAAGGATTTGTGCTTTCTCCATACTACTGTCACACAAACACACATTCAGAGAGGTAATAATCTGAACGAAGCACTGATACAATTCCTCCTGCTCTTGGCAGCAGTGTCACTTACGTCTTAAATGTTCCTTCAGTTGGATTACTGCTGTAGAATTAAGCTACACTGGTCCTCCAAAATGTACTGAAATCTTATCAAGTTGATATGCTGAACATGTTGGACAGCAAGCTATGGATTATGAACACATCCAGCAGAGTGAGAGCAACATTAGCATTGATTTGGAGTCGTGTCTCTAACATTGACTTTTATTTTAGCCTTGATTTGGTTTTTACCGACTCTTGACGGTCATATCTGGCTCTTCAGCCGCTAAATGCTCAACTGCGTTGACCACCAAGTTGCTACTTTGTCTGCTATTTAGTGGTGGGCAAAAACACCTGCCAGCTGCTGCAGGTGAAGAGATTGATTAAAACGGGACTAATGAACCGAAACATTAAAGTTGCAAGCTGTAAAACCAAAACTGAGCTACAACACTCCATAGAGCTGAGTGGAGCAGAGATGGTTGAGAATTCTTTGTGGGTTTATCACCACAAGTGACACCTTTCATATTAGATAAATTGTTAATATAAAAATATTGTGTAGTGCAGCTTTAAATTTTGATTACAACTAATAGAGTTTAAAGTTTAACTATTATTCAATCACTTTAATGTAACCTTCAGACAAGCTAAGCTGATGTAGGAGTCATATTTTCCTGTCTAGTGATTAATCTGGGCTAAAAAGAAATACATTATGTATGCTCTTATAGTTACAGCGACAAAGTATTTTTGAATTTGATTAATTACTGTAAGTAAGGGCAATGCTAACATTTAATCACATAAATTTTAAGAGGCTATGATACGTAAAAGGAAACAGCCGTGTCTTAACAGCCGTTCAACTGTCAGTTGAGGCTGCATAGCTATTGTGTGTATGTGCTGTAGGACTTTACAGTAGCCTGTCAATTTGTCTCTATATTAACAAGAATAGCAATTCAAAGTGAGAACTGTTCTTGTTTTGGCTCAGAATGATATATTGAGGCACACATTCTGTACACATGGGCTTTAAGTAACAGAGAAAGTGAAGTACAGTGCAGTAAATGTATTTGTCTGCTTCTCCCAAGTGGGAAAGCATTGCCAACTCTCCTTGGTAATGTGGTCAATCACGCTGTGTGAAACTCGGACAGCGTTCCAACTAGCTGGGGCCAACACTGCGTTGGGGATGATGTACACAATATGAGCTGTGTACTAGAACTACTAGAACCGAGTAATTAAAGTGACAAGTGGAAAAAAACAGCTTCCAAAAGAACAAACTTAAAAAAAAAAAAAACTTGATTTATAGACTCTCCTCATTTTTATATCGTTGTGAAAGCACAGGGCACACACACAATTGCTTAAAATTAGTGGGAAAAAAATAGAATGGGTGCTAAGGAGCTTGTGGAAAATGAACAAAACAACACATTTACAGCCAAATTTGTACAAGAGGAACAAAATTACATTAAAATAGTTCTGATAGTCAGCAGAAACTACTGTATCATGTTCGACATACCGTATATGCAAAGACATTCCCTAGCAGATAAAATGTCACCAAACCCACACATACACACAAAAAGCATATTTATGTAGGAACCCAGCATGGCAGCTCTCTTGTAGGAAGCAGTTTTCTTGCCAAAGCTGAAAACTATTAATTTGCATGTAATTAAGACATGGCGATTTATCCCTGTGTATGGTTGGCTATGAACTGACTGTTTATATCATGGGGAAAAAGAAAAGTAGGTGTCAAGGAACGTAAAGGCAATTTCCCGCCAGCTCTCTGCCTACACACGAGTGCCTTTTAGTTCTTGATGTTCGCTCTGAAAGGTCTGATATGATCAAATCAATTATTCCGGTATGACTGTTGATTGTCTTTAGTTGATGCAGCAGCTGTCACATTAACATTTGCAGCTCTGCCCAAAAAGTCATGCATTTGTTTGATGTGTTAGCAAAGCACGTGTCCTCATAAGAGATAAGCCACTGTCAAGCCAAATAAATTCAAGTTGACATTGGTTTAACATACTGTAGCATAGACAGTGTAGAGCATGCTGTATAGCGCAGTATATGCTCTGAACATATGGTTTGCAGTACGATACATAGAAAGAAACGTGCATACACACACACACACATACAGACAAGATCCATCAAAGGTCTATTCTCTATGCATGGACTTTGTGCCAAAAGGCCTATGCTGGTATTCATCATTTCAAAGGACCATTGCCTTTGAACTCCCAAAAGCACGCTGAATCTGTTGTGATAGGGTCACACACACATATACGTACACACACACACACACACACACAAATACATAAACCATATGAAGACACGCGTACACAGATTTCCTTAAGGCCCCTTGAAGGACGAGTCTACCCTTTTTCCCCAAACCCTCTCTTTCCATCACTGTTCCCAAAACAGCATGGCAAAACATCCCAGAGGCCATGCTTTAGATTACAACGTCTCCCTATTCCTCCCTCTTTGAGACATATCTTTGCAGCCTCTTTGTCTGGCAATGGGGACAGTTTTATTTAATTTAAATATTAACCTTATGAAAACCCCTGCTTTGAAAAGCATAAAAACAAGGCAAAAATAAATAATACAAAAAACAAAAATAAAAAATGGCAGTCAGAAGGGAGGGCGAGAACACAACAAAAGGCTACAGCCCAGACTGGCAACAGCAACATTCACGTATCATTTAGCAGGGGGAAAATAATTCAGGATTCTTTGCCTTAGCAATAATAAATAAAGAGCACTTACCCTGTGATAATTGCTCAGCCTGTGAGTGATTACATACGATATAAGCACACACACTCTCACTTGGACTGAAATCAATTCCAGAATAAAAAGGTTATTATTCAGAAAACAGCCACCAATTTTGTTTTAAACTGTCTTATGTTTTAGTCTCTGCATCAATTATTACCAATGTTCCAACGTCATGCAGAAACTATTTATACCCTGCCAAGTTAGAAAGCATGGAATAAATTAAATGACTGAAATGAATAATCCTTTCTAATGTCAATGCTTTCAAAGTTAGTGGTTTTCTAAAGGGACACTTAGAAATACAAAATTAAAATTGCAGAGACAATGCAGAGGTCATAAGTATACTTTAAGTCTTAAAACAAACATCAAAGGCTTTTCATTCTTTTATGCCAGACATAAACCATATATAATAAGTATGGTACTATTTACATCTCAGAAGATAAGTTGAGGTCTACATCTGAAAGCTGCTCTGTGATAAGTTAGTTGTCAAAACCGGCCCCCACTTTTTCTTCAGAGTCTGCTCTACTGAGACGTTATTTCAATCACAGGCCGATCCTTCCACTCCAATGGGAACCTGATAAAGACGTTTCAGCTGGACAGTCTCAGCCAGATTGGAATAAAGTCCTGAGGTACCCTCAACACCAGAATTAGATGGGGCTGCACGGGTGACTTATAGCTGTCCTTGACAAGGTATAGGCCTAACAGGTTATCTTAGAGACAATGGCGGAAGAGCCCCGCTGGCCACTGCAGAACTGCTCAGTAGTATAAACCAAGCCAACCATGGAAGAAGCACAGAAGTCCAGTCTAAAAGGCTTTGCTAGGGTACGATCCTTCAGGATGGCTGGGTGAGTTTGAAAAGTGGGCATAGCTGACCACAGATGAACATGGAACTGGAAGTAAGGATAGTCTAGGGAGGATACAGAAGTTAAAGCAAAAACCATAACCAG